GAGGAGGTAGTGGGCTGCCCAACAGCCTTGATCATAGCCAAAAGGCCGAGAAGACCTCCAACCCGCCGGTTTAAGGTTTAGGGCCTTTAGGGTTTAGGGTTGTGGCAAGTGCACACATTATACTGTTTGCTTAGCAAGATCCGCTATTATTTAGTGCTTAAAGAAGCTTGATCTGGATGGAGTTAACTTGCAGTTCATGGATTCCAGATCGGCTTTTCAGGCCTATTGAAACCATCCGGAGAGGATTAGAATCTGATAAGCAGTGACTAGCCGGTTGCTGTTGCTGTTGCTCTTGTTGTTGGTGGTGGTGGTGGTGGTGGTGGTGGTGGTGGTGGTGGTGGCGGTGTTGGTGTTGATGTGGCGGTTCCCTCTTCTGTACACGGCCGCATGACAGCAGTGCCTGGGGATCTGCAAGCTCATCAGCCTAACTCATTCTATCTCTGCTTCCGCATACCAGGAGACGCGAGTAAGCAGGGTGAAGTCTACTTCCATGGCGACCACTTGCTCGAGCCGTACCTGGAGGTAGGGATGCAATGACTTGCAAGAGAAAGGGGACTGCGGACAAACAGTGGGTTGTTTGCAAGCCAGAGCATGAGCTCCCGTTGCTGCCTCGGTTTGGGTTCGCAACGCTCTTCTGAGGTAGGCCATCATGTCGTCGAACTTGTTCATCTCCTTACCGGAGGACGCTTTCGACCATCACAACCTAGCGTCTCCGCGCGATTCCTTTCTGAACCTGTCAGGAGACTCTACTGGCAACAAAAAATCTTAAGCCTCGATTCGCTTAGGTCCCCATCGAAGTGCTTGGCAGTGGCACAGCTGCACGGGGTGATGGCATGACCCGTGGAGTCCATGGGTGGGGCCGTCGCACAGATGCCTGCATGCTGGTTCACAGAAAACGCACAGATCCAGTACGGGACGTCCAGCTTACCCTTTCCGCGCAGTGCATCGGAGAGCTTTCCAAACTGCCGCTCTTTGAGAAGCTGGACCATGTGATCGTACGTCTCCATCTCCAGCGCGTCCGCCAAGACCGCTGCGAACAGATTCACAAACGTGTTGCGCCAACTGTGGGTTACCATCTTGTGCGCTAAGCGTGGCATGCCATTGTTCACGGTGTCTGCATAGGAGAAGCCCCTAGCCCTAGCAGCCGGAATCTCTTCGCCCGACAGGATCCCCCGCGAAGCCCGCAAGACCAAGCTCGGAACCTTGCCGGCAGACATCGGCTCGAGAGGCAAGTCGGTCGAGTCGGCACCTTCAGAAGCACAAAAAGAGGGTTTAGGGGCACTGAAGTCGGGTCGGGTGACCACAGTCTGGCTAAGGCGGCTGGAGCTGCCTTCGCTTGTACTCCGCTCTGCGCTCTCTGAGGGAGATAAAGCTGAAGGAGAAGGAGAGGATGCGCAGGCCTCGGCAAAGACAAGAAACCACCCGCGGTTCCTCTATGCCATGAACAGGTGCCACGTCTCTGTCTCACTTCTGCTCCTCCGCACCCTATGCCCAGCCTCGGCTACTTCCAGCTTCTCTTCGAGACATTCTTCCGCGCGGTGGACGAATACCGAGATCTTAGCCAGGTCGGGGTTGGGTCACTTCATGCATAGAGGACCCACAAGCACAATTGATCAAAAAAACATTCCCTGGAAAGAAAGCTTTGACATGTTGCATACTGCAAAGAGGAGAGGCACGTGGAGCGAACCCTGGGGAAGCTGGAGGATTCCAGAAAAGCCCTCGCTCCAATAGTCCTTGCTGGGAAGGCTCGCGTGCCCGAAGGGCTCCAAGCCAAAATCAAGATCCTCGTCTCGAAAGACCTCCTCTGCAAGGAACGACTCCTCCCAAAATGGGTCGGTCTTGTTCTTCAGGGGGGCCGTCCCTCCACCTTTCCAAGGCTTCAGAAATCCTCCCTTCCCTTTCACAGAGACCTCGCAGCAAAAGTCCGGAGCGCTCACGAGGTCTCCACCTACTAGCCCATCGGCGCGATGGACGACGACGGTAAAGCAACGGCTCTGTCTGACCTGCAATGATCTGGGGATTATGGCCTGCCGAACGACGTCGTTCGTTGTCGACTGATCCACATCAAAATGTTCCATGAACTCGTACCCCAGACCCGCGTAGAAGTCGAGCAGCTGTCGGATGCTTACACCACGCCCTGCCAGCTCCTGCACTTTCCCATCCCAGACTGGCCTATCCAGGGGATCCAAAGCGGCAACTTCCTGTTCAGCCAATTGAAGATCGAGGCCGAACTTCTTGGGCGGCTTCACACGACCTTCCGTCCAAATGCTGAGCTCTGTCCCAAGTCCTGAGAAGAGGGACGCCAGCAACGGCACGATCACAAGCTTCCGCAGAAGCACCACGGAAAAGCTGAACATCCACTTCCACTCATCTGCCTCCGACAAGTTCGCCAGAAAAGCGAAGATGATCAATAAGTACAAGAGGGAAAGACAGAAACTGAACAGCCAAAAGCCGACGTCCTTGCATCGTCTCATCCACATCTGGAGCTGTCGATGGCCGTGGCTCTCTTGCACGAAGCTGCGATAAGCAAAATAGGATTCGAGGCTTCTGGGAATGAAATTGAAAGAGACCGACAGTAAAGAGACGAAGATATACCACAAAGGCGTCCCCTGCTGAAAGGGGCAGTCGGCGGGGCTCCGTGCCGCCACAGCAGTGCCATCCACGGAAAAGAACAAAGCGACGAATGCCAAGGACCCAACGAGGCAGTCCATGATGATTTTCGCTCGCTTGGTGCAAGCGACATGCAGATCGCACATGCCAAGCTCAACCACGGGGTGCGTGGCAACTAGCACCGTCCACAGCCGGCGCAAGCGAGAGTCGTGCATGCGAACGAAAGCTTTCGGCAGGCACTCTTCGAAGTCCACGGCCAGTGCTTTCAGCTGAGACGACTTCTGCACTGCGAGACTGCCTTGCACCCAGCCACTCCTGCCCCAGATGTGTGAAGTTATGGAGCTGGCATACAGTTTTTTCCGGCGCGCAACCTCCAAGAGCGTGTTTTGACACAGAATCCGATCCCGAAATTGCTGCCCAAGTGCAGGCCGCAGCTTCTTCTGGAAGTTGCGAAGACGGGTCACATAGAGCCCAGATTGCAGGTGAGGCAAGCGGTTCGGTTCTGGCGTGTTCTGTGAGCTGTGCTGGTCGCTGCCTTGAAAGTGCAGGAAGCCAGGAACGCAGGAGCCGCAGGAGCCGCAGGAGCCGCAGGAGCCGCAGGAGCCGCAGGAGCCGCAGGAGGTCAGCGGAGGCAGTTCCGTCAGGAAGTACTCGTCCCGCCAAAGGCCCGTTCTCTGAAACTTCCTGTCCAGAACCTTCCCGAAGAGGATCAGCGCCAGGGACGCGCCCAGGAGCGCCCAGAGGGCCATGGCCGGCGGGCGGCGCCACCAGCCCGGCCGCTCGAAGATCTCCTGAAGACCCTCCAACCCCAGCATGTTGGCGTTCCTCGGGGCGAGACGGAATCCACTGCATTGATTTGATGCTGTGTGCCGATTTTTCACAGAGGTGCTGGTCCCTTTCCAAGCACAGATTTATCAAGCAAAGACGTAACGACACTGCGAAAAGAACATGTTGAGGTCAGGATAGAAAGACCAACAGATGGCAAGGTTGCCGGCGGAGACTCGCAGAGATCTTGTGTACTACTTGTGGAATTCTCTCACGTTACATTCGTGGAAACGGCCACCTTATGAGTTCTATTCGGCCACTCGTGGGTTAGCCTCACAACCGCGACCCGAGCAGAGGCGCCAAAAAGAGACTGAGTTACGAGACAGGACCCGGAGTGGAGTCGGCTGGGTACGGCTTCTGGCTTTTTGGATGCGCATCCGTCGTGCACTCATCCCCTTTGCACTGGCCTAAACGCTCTTCACTCTAATCACTCTACCAACGGACATGGCTCTCCAAAGATGATGCTCTAATCCACACTCACGTGCAGTTTCGTGCACGTTGGCCGGAACATGTCAAACACAGTAAAGAGAGGGGGAGGGCACTGAAGTCGACACATCTTATAAAGTCAACGGAAGAACTTAGCAACGCAAGCCCCAAGAAAACCTGTTTCTCTGATCAAACGAAACTGGCTGTTGGATTGCTGCCAAGGGCTCGTGCAGTCCAGCAGCAGGTCCACAAAGGCTGTGAAGACCGTCAAGTGGAGTGTGGCGCACCAGGTGCCCGAAGTGTTCGCTCCGTTCGGGAAGGCTTCTGCCAGCTCTGCAGCCGTCGCCAAGCGGACCCCCTCCGTGGACCAAGTCTCACCGTCCAAATACGCACAGAGCCACTTGGGGTCTGGCGTTTCGTCAGTCAGCCGCACGTAGATGGGCGAGATGACGTCCGCGACCTTCACCTCCTTCGCACTCAAAGTGCGAATGTTTACAAGCGAGATGTCAACTGCCGGCACGGCTGAGGACAGAGGCCGTCCTCTGTCCGTTCGCACCTTCAGCCCGGAACCCAGGCTTTCGTTGCCGACTGCTCCATCAAAAGTCGTCATCACCAGCGCATAGTCGTCCTCTTCTCCAAGCACCTACACACAGGAACGGAAACGCTTTCAAGACTTCCCAGGGAAATTGAGCACCTGCTCCTAACGGCCTGCCCTCTAACAGCTTTGGGAAATGTGCTCCAACTTCGGGTCCGCTTGGACCGCCTCTACCATCCAGTCGAACACTCCGGGTGACTTCTCGCAGCAATTTTGACCAAAAGCTTAGACTCACCACTTCCTACACGGGTTGTTGAGTAAACTGTCGAAACTTTCCCCTGCAAATGCTTCTGTTTTCAGCTTCTGTTCCCTGCAATCCACTCGGCGCAGCTTTTCTCCCAGCACGCCTTCAACGGAAGCACAGTGGCAGCAGGGCTTCCTTCCAGGATTGCGACGAAGCTTCCGTTGCCCACAAGTGGCCTCGAGAAGTGTTGCAGGCTTCGCGGAGCCAAACGGCCAAAGCACCCCCCTCTTCACGCCCCTCCCCCTAAGTTCGCGGCCTCATGGCTGCCATCGTACCCAACTCGGTGACGACCACCGTGGCGTTGCCATCCTCGGGAAGCTGACCTAAGGAAGACAGACATAGAGGCACACCGTCTGCACAGCTTTTGCCTGCACAATGAGTAGCACATACGAAAGAGTCACGACGGAACTGGCTGTGTCCATTGCAGGGCGGGGAATTCTACCGGTTTGGAAGCTCAGTGGAGGGCACAACAAACAGGGCAGGTTCAGGAAGAGGTGAAACCGAGTAAGACCAAAGTCATTGTCGTTCCTGCGGACGAGCCCAACAAGGCTCTCTGTTTCTGACGTCTGCAGGTGGGCAGACGTGGGCACCTGAAAACGAAGTGGGTCTAAGCGAAACGAAAACCCGCTAAACCTCAGCTCCTCCACCCCCTAAACGCGGCCCAAGCGACTTAGCAAGAGGTTGGTGTAGCGCTGCAAGGAATTCGACACATCGCGGCTGTTCGCAGTGAGAGTGCTCGTGGTGCTCGTCGGCGAACTACTTGAGGAAATGCTGGTACTCGAGCTGCTTCCGGTCGTGCTGCTTATGCTGGAACTGGGGCGAGAGCTCGTGCTGGAAGTTGCGGTGGAGCTTGTGCCGGAAGTTGTGCTGGAGCTCGTGCTCGAAGTTGTGGTGAAGCTTGTGCCGGAACTTGTGCTGGAGCTCGTGCTGGGAGTTGTGGTGGAGCTTGTGCCGGAGCTTGTGCACGAACTTGTGTGGGAGCGTGTGCTGGAGCTCGTGCTCGAGTACGAGGAGTCTGTCCGGGAACTTGTGCTGGTTGTGCTCAAGCTGCTGCTGGTCGTACTTGTGCTGCTCCTGCTTCCTGTTGTTGTTGCGCTGCTTGAGCTTGAGACGGTGCTGGAGCTTGATGAGGTCGTTCTAGTGCTGGCACTGGTACTGCTGCTGCTTCTCGTAGTCGTGGTGCTACGACTATGACTAGAACTCGAGCTGGTGCTGCTGGCTGTACTTGTGCTCGTGCTCGTCTTTGTCGTTTGCGTGCGGGTGCTTGAGGTTGATGATATGGAAGTGGTTGTTGTTGTTGTCGTTGTCGTCCCTACAATCTCGACAGTGAAGCTGTCAGCAAAAGCCACCAGGCAGATCGTCTCTGCCGTATCAGATTTGGCCCTCTCAGACGTGCATGCAGGTCGGACAATTCGGATCGCGATGTTCGCGATCTGAAACGACACAGGTCCAGGCGACTGCGCTAAGAGCTCCAGCTTCGAAAAGTCACTCCAAGGAATATCGCCCACAAAGGATACGTCTCCGTTCCAAAGAGGCACTGTGACATTCTGCCACTGGTCGCTCACTGGGTTGCAATGCACGTCGAGGCCCGACACTGTCCATGCCGAGTCCAAAGCGGAGTTGCCCACCCTTATTGATCGAAGCTGGTTGCCGGCATCGCTGCACACGAGCTCGAACTCCAATTCGGCGTCTTCTTTAAACATGTTGAGGGAAGGGAAGGCCACGCTCGTCGCATCAACCCCTCCGGAGAGATTAAAAAAGTGAACTTTGCCGTCGCTGTCGGCAGAAGTCGCCATCCATGACCCAGTAACAAATTGCACAGGGCCCGCACTGACGGCATTGACCTGACGGCACTGGACCGATTCGCTCATGGATGCTCATGGCCAATCTCTGCACGTTTTGGCGGTTGTTGTTGTCTCCGAGGAGGAGCAAGCAAACGGACAACAAAACACGAGCAAGAACTGCTCCTTAAGTTGGGGCTTCGTGTATTGTTTGAGCCCCTTTTTCGACCTCTGCGTCATTCTCATCTGCGAAGATCCTGGCGTCTGCGGCATTTGTCGCAAAGTGGCGAAGCCAGGCCCCATCAGGTGCGTTGCGGCTGCCCTGGCCTTCGGAAAAGAACGAGTCTGGCGGGGAGGAGCGAGTTTAGGGCCTCAAGTAACACAAACATTGACGGTACGAGTATCTGTGTTTCAAACTTCAACCAAAGAGTGTCCATTTGTTGCTGTACACACAGAAATCTATTCAGGTCGATGCGGCAACCACAAGGTAAAAGCAAACTTCTCTCCAAGCAAAGGGTCCGGCGACTACCACCACGGAACTGGCGTTTGAAAAAGTTCTTGTGAAGCTCACGTATTGTTCTGACCTAGCGCCGTCGCCCCATCCCAAATAAGGAAGGATCCCAGTGGTCATGACCACGTACGGGATCGGTGACGGTGGGGAATCGGCCAAGATCTCGGCAGAGTTTGTGTATGGTTGGGAATCGAAAGCAATGTAACCGACCTCCTCTGGCGAGTTCACACTGCCGTCTTCCGTGTTCTTCGTTGAATCCAGGGCCACCTCCATTCCCGTCAAATTTACCCCCCCTATGGCTGCAACCAGCCAGGGCTTCATCGGGACATGCGTCACCGCGTTGTTCAGCGTTTGCATCATGACAAGACACGTCGGAGGCACTTGAAATGGATGTAAGAAGGAGACCCACTCCCACGCCCGGTGAGGAAAGTCCAAGGGTCTGCAGTCCGCGGCTTGCCGCTGCAGCGTCTGGACACGGCCAGCCTCGACTACCCGACCGTCAGGCAGTACATGCACTCCCGGAGACACAGCTACGAAGTTCACGTCCATTGCTGGGTGTGACCCATCCTTCGGCGCAGGCTCCGAAAGGCAAACCTCGAAGGATGCTTCGGTGACGGAGCGGAGAAAAATCATGGCAGGATCAGAAACAGGCATTGCAATGCCTGGCATCGCCACAACTACAGGCGGCTCCACAAAGGGCTCAGCAAAAGTCACAGTTTGAAAACAGTCCGCATCCTGACTCACATGGGCCACACCCACTTCCAGTCTTCCGGCATGGGCAGGAAGAACCTCTGCCAGCATCAGGCAAAGAACCACCCAAGGTTGCAAAGGCCGCAGGTGCATTGGCAGGGGGAGTCTTCAAATGAGTGTGTGCCAAAACAAAACTGGTACAAGTCCTTCAACTTACCACTCCGTAGATGTCGTAGATCCAAGCAGAGCAACCACTTAGACTTAGATTTCAATGTATCACCGGTCTCAGGATTTTTCTCTTGTTTCCCGTGCTTCGCTTGAACATTCGAGCTGCGGCCATGGAGCCATGAAACGAGAGGTAATCTGTTGCGGATCGGCCCTTCGCGGAAACAAGTGCAAAAACCAAAGGCAATCCCCCAAGGTCATCAACATAAGCGGTCTGGATGGCGAGGTCGGATTGATCTTTGCAGGGCGAGTACCTCAAGTTTGATGGTTCTGCCTGTCATTCTGAACCTGGCTACAGTGTTGCATGGAGAACTCGGGGTCGGGCCCGGTGGCCCGGCTCGCAGCCACTGGAAGGACTGGATCCGAGTCCCAAGGCTGCTCTGGGTCTTTCGTTTTGGCACTCTGCGAAGCTGAAGGGATCTGGACGTTTGGGACTCTTGTAATCTTTATCTTCAGTATATCTTCGCCAGCTTTATGGAGCCCGACATCCGCGGCCCGGGCTCGAAGCCTGAAACCCCGAAAGCACAGAGTAACACCCTTAGCCGCCTTAGCCCTTGGCCCCGAACTCTCACCCAGTCGTTGTGGCACTAAACAGAATGCCCTGGGTGTGAGACCTCGAACCCAAAAAGAGACGACTTCGACGCGCTCCGCTGCTCAAAAGAAGCTTTTGACCCTGGCCCTGACGAAAAGGTCTGGACTTTCGGGGTCCCCTGAGCTGAGCTCGCAGCAGCTGATCTCAACAAGGACAGGCTGAGCCCAAAAAGAGAGAGATCCCCTCCGGCTTCGGCTTCGGCCGGCCTGCGGCATCTCAGGCAGGGCCTGGCCTTCGAGTCAGGGCCTTCGGCTTGGAAGATCTTGCGCTTTCGCTGAGGCATCTGCAGTGGTTTTTCTGGCTCCAGGGTAGGGCCATCCTGCGGTGTCTTCGACTTCAAGAAACACACACAAGGAGGACCCTGAGTTGCGTCAGGATGTCGCAAAGGCTACCTGGCCAGATATCTCTGGCCTTTGTATGAAACCGCCTGCAACAAGAAGATCCTTGCACCAGACCCACACGGTGCTGCCATGCACTCGCTGCAATCGTTTAGCCAACTCGAACCGACTCGAACCCTCAAAAGCTTTCGAGCCATTCTTAGCAGATCCGGCATCCTCGCCGATTCACGCAACTGCTCATTCTCCGAAGTCTCCAGCTGAGCCTTCGCAAAGCTGTGAAGCTTCGACATGCGGCTCGAAAGTGTGCAAGGTTAAGGTGCTAGCTGCTAGGCGAAATGTTCATGGATGGGGACCAGAAAAGAGGACATAAGCACGCCCACATGTGCGAACGGCTCGACTTCGAGGCAGGGCCACAGAGCTCGAAAGCATGAGCCGTGCATCCCCCTATGACGTTTGCAGTAATTCAGAAGCCCTCGGGCGATCAGCACGGGGTGCCTCAAGCTCGCGAGCTTGCAGTACGACCTTTCGAGCGGCTTCCATCTGTGATGAAGCATCTGGAATGGTCTCGTCCGCAACATCCAAAGATCTCGCGTGCTTCAGGGTACGCAAGTTGATTTGCAGCAGAAATTATCCTTGGTGACAAACTGGCACAGTGATGTGAAACGGCCCCACGCAGAAGTAGATACTAGCATCGCATCCAAAAGTCTGGACATATGCAAAACTCGCCACGAGGAAGACTTAATTTTGCCACGGCTCTGGTACATGAGCTTCCCCGCTTCCGTTGTCGAGGCACTGCGACGGCACCTGAAGCACAGCAGACAGCTCTCAAAACTCCCTTCGATCCGCCTTGGCAAGGGTTTTCATTCTGAGGATCCCTGAAGCACAAACTTTCAGAGATAGAGCCTCGCAGCTGTCCAAGCTCGCGATCGCCAGGGCAACTCAGGGGCAGTAGCGCACCTCGTGAAAGACCTGAGCACAGCCGGCAGTTTCACCATCAAGGCTTCTTTCCTAGCCTTTTCCATGTGCCAGGCCACCTGTCCGGAGACACTCCTCTCCCTCCCCACTACCAAGGTGCCGATACAACACCCCCCTCTGACTCTTGGCTTGGGGTTTAGGCGGGTTTACGCTGCGATCTTGCGGTCTACACTCGAATCCCTGTGCTCCTTTGCACCAGTCTCGACTCGGGCAAGCCGACGTTTCACACTAGCAAATCGCAGCTCTCAACGGGAAGCATATACTGTAGGGCCAGCCGTATTGATCATGATCACCGCCATGATCATCTGGGTTGTAGTTTTGGGGCCATGAAGAGTATTTATGAATAGAGACCTCTAAGTGTCTATAGGAACCATAAGAGAAATTTGAAAGATTCCCAAAGTGCCACCTAGTCATCCCCAACATCCATGGACGCTTGGTACGCCTAAAGATGAAAATAGCTGCTCAGACAACTCATCTTATCATTGCTACGCCAGCACCCCAGAGCAGTAACTAGCCGTAGCCGCAGCAGTAGCCGTAGCAGTACCGTAGCAAAAGAATCATCATGCATGTGCGTAGGCAGAGTATATGTGCACGCACGAGCACACCCACATGGCTGGATGCAGAGACAGGTTTCATCTTCCTTTCCTTCGCGCACTCGGCAAGTGTGGCCGCAATCCTCCGAGGTCCAAGCCTTGGGGCTGAGGAAACCAGGACAGCGATCGACAAGTCGTGCCGGAGGCACGCTTCTAGGGGACCTAAAAACGTACAACGAGATGTGTTAAATTCCCCTCGCCCTCAGGAAATGGCCAACACAGGAAAAGGGGCGGGGGAAAGCCATGCCGTTGGGCACAGCCTCTGTTTCTACAGAAACGATGCATAAAGAGTCTATAAAGTCTCTTCGCCGCTTCGGCGCCTCGGCGGCGAAGCCATCAGACGTGAGGCCTCACGACACCATGGCTTTGTCGAAACTCTGGCCACCATGCTCCGGAAGCGGTAGCTCAGCACCCTGTGGGGTTGTTTCACCTGGTCGGTTGTACTCGGCCTTCATAAGGTGCGCGATTTCCAACATGTCGGGATGGTCCTCCATACTGTAGGAAGATGGTGGAGAGCAGCGGTCGATGATTGCTTTTGCTTCGGGCCAAGTCATCGTCTCTGCAATGTCCACCGTCTTGCCCAGCTTTTGCTCGACAGAATCCGCAGGCTTGCTTGCTTCCCCAGTGTCTTCGACGAACACTTTCTTAACCGAGGGACGGTAGAACTGCCAAAGAAGCCTGACTAAGCCGCCGAAGGTCTCATGAAATGCCCATGCCAGCCACCAGAGTACCCAAATCGCCAGCATCAAGCAAAAGAATGCTACAAACATCCAGGTGCTTTCCCGAGTTAATCTCGGCCACCAGCCCTGGAGGTGCTCAAGACCGCCGCGCCCTTCTCTTCCAGGAGCTTTCCGATATCACCCCCTGCCGGATTGGAGGGAAAGACGCAGGCTTGCCCATACATTAAAACTGCAAAGAAGCAGTGGAGGGCGACGGCGTAGAGCAACTTTTCCGAGGCCTCCTTCGGCAGAAGGGCATCGTAGGAAGGAGGCCGCTTGGAGCACCACAGAAGCGACACCTTGTCCGCCCAATACATGGAACACATGTAGCCAAAGGCGAAGAGATAGAGCAAAGGCATCCCGGCCGAATATGTCAGCGACACGAAAACTGTCGTGAGCATCTGGGCGTACTTTACCTTGATGTCAAACTCAGGGTTGGTGTATAACGTGATGAGCTCCGAGTGGTGCTTGACTCTACCTCTCTTGAACCGTCGCATCAGCCATGTCTTGAAGATGTTCAAGATGGTAATTGCAGGCGGGACGACCATGTTAATTAACATATTGGTTGTGATGGTTGCACCCACATCAACGTACCAAGCCCGTGTCAAGTCGTCAAAGGGTCCTGCAAACAGCGCGCTGCCGATTAGCGGGATGGCCCGCATCACATCTCGGAGACTTTGCGGGCCGTGCATGTTGACAACAAACAATACGAAACCCGTGTTCAGTGTCTGTGCGATGAAAATCTTCTCCATCATGGACTTGTATAAGGCAGTCAACGACAGAGGTCGCTCAAATTGGGCCATGGCCCTCAAAGCCATCTGAAGGACCATGTTAATGACAATAACAAACACGGAGGCGGCCTGCATGATGCCGATCCCTCTTGCTGCGTTCAAGAACCAGGGCTCACACGCGCTCACGAGCGCTGCACTTTCCACCAGCTTGCTGTAGCCTTGAGACTCGCACCAACAGTTTAACATGCTGCCGCCCCGCGAGACGGCGAAGTCCATGGTCCAGTTGCTTGCGACACTCACGATGCAGACGTGACCATCTGATGGCGCAGAGGAGTACATCCTTTGAGGATCACACTGCTCGTTGCCTATATAGCTCAGTTGCGAACCCGCTTCTCTTTTGCCGACAACGGTGGCCACGTAGATCAACACAACCGAGAACGCCAGGATGAGGACAAAAGTCACAACGACACAAAGCTGCCTGAGCAGTCGACTCCGAAAGGGCGTGTCCTGGTCTCAGTGTGCGCTTTCAAAGCTAAAATGCCTCCTATAGCCACCTCTATTAACTCGCTGATCTCCCCTATTTGGGACAGGAAAAAGAGAGAGAGGGAGAGAGAGAGCAGGACCTGGTTCTCCCAGAGGAGATCCGACGGCTGGGGGGCCTCGCGAATTTGCAGCGCCGCCCCGTGGAAGCGCTTCGACGCAGGCTGAAACCAGCGAAGTAAGGCGAAGTTGTCAAGCCGGTAATCCTCCAGAAGGCAGTTCCTGGCTCTCTGTTAAGCAGCTTAGGTTGGATGTCAGATACCACAATATGGTCCTGGGCATGTGCGATACATACCACGGTCTACGGGTGGTATCTGGAACTAACTGAGTCAGCAATTGAAAAAGGCTTAGGCCTAGGCTCTTGTCTGTGGTTCGGTTCAGAATCACGTAGGCGCGGATGACTGGAAGCTCGCTGTCAGGTGCCAAATGAACCTGCAATCGCCGGTCCAGTTTTGCCAGCTTCTTCTCGGCTTTGAAGATCGCCTGGTCTTTGCCATAAGCTTTGGCAACATCGATGCTCTGCAACGTGCGACCGCGAGCTTTCAGAGTCTCCAGCCTCCCAGAGAAGTCTCGCACCAGTGTGATGTCCGCCACTGCAGGCGCCACAGGCTCGGGCTTCCCAGAGCCCTGAAGAGCCTTCATCCGCTCCTCCAGGTGGCTTTTCAGAAGACTCTCGTAGTCCTCGGCCTGGTACTCGATTCTTGGGGGCAGGTTGTCGATGACAACCGAAAAGTCCTGCACGGAAACACTCTCGAGGTCATCCAACTTCGCTTGCCGCGGGATCTCGATGAAGCGGAATCTTACCAAGTAGAGAAACAAAACTATCATGCAGGAGAGGTCTAGCCAGGCAAAGATGGGGGTCAACTCCGACAGCTCAGCTCCATCGCAGCCTGCCCGCACTAGGCGCAACAAAGGGTCCAAGAGCTTCGTGTCCGCCAGCAGACCCAAGTTGCCGATGGAAGCCCTGGCTAAGACTTGCCCGTTGTCGGGCGCGAAGGTGCCCTGCAAGCAGAAAGCCGTCGTGGGGAAAGTCAGGGCCGCCATGGTTGCAAAGAGAATTCCGAGGCTTCGAAGTGTTTTGAAATACATCTCCAGGCCACTCCCACCAATCTCACTGAAGCCGTCGATATTCGTGCAAAGTGGGTTCAGCCACCTTCCACCCACCGTACAGCTGCTGGAAACCAAGTGCCGCTCTGCAGAGGCCATGTCCGGCTTGGACCGGCGGACGTCTTCCTTGCTGGATGCGCGAAGATCCGCGCCCGCCACGCCCGCCGTGCCCCCGCCCCCTCCCTCTGGCAGCACCTTACGCTCGCTGTGTTCGTGTCGACACCAGACGTAGGGGACCAGAACCACGGAGATCAGCCCGAGAGCTGCGGCAGAGGAGACGATCCAGACTCGCGACAGGGCGCTGCTCCTGCCGCCCACGGTGATCTCCACGCATTTCGGTGCCTCCGCGGCCCAGGTCGCGAGAGCCAGACTTCCGTTCACCGGGCCCGTCTTCTTCAGCCAGCTTGCCAGGGCAACGCTCGTCACCATGGCCAAGGGCCCACGCGGAAAGCATCGAGTCTGAGATGTCTGCTCATCCTTATCTTTGGCCGCTGCTTTCTGGAAAGGAAAAGCTTGAGCCAAAACCTCGCATGATGTGGGAAGAAGGCTGGCAACGAGCGACGCTCCCTTCCGGGACTTTAGCGGCCAGCGCACCTGCTCCCAGACATAGGAGCTGCCGTCTTCCGTCAGTACAACGACCTCGCCTCCACAAGCAGCAAGTAGTCCAAGATTTACCTGAATCCAAGCCGTCCAAGCATCCAAGCCCCTAAAAATCGCCAACCCTTTACTGCTCATTTAAGAGTTCATCTTCACCCTACTCCATGGAGTGTCTCATATGCGGAACGCAGATTCTTCCCTTCCCAACGGAACAGCTGTTACATTTTGGATACGGGAACAGAATGCAGTGCTGCACAAAGAGCGGCGGTCTTGTGATGTAGCGAGACTCAGCGCCTGGCGCGTGCAGCTACCTCTAGTTGCATGCAGTTGTTTGCTGCAGCGACCGATGTTCCTTGGGACGTCATCGACCATGAGGACGGACGCCAGTGTTTGTATGCTCTGAACAGTAGCCCAACACTCTCCGAACTGTAGACGACAGCGAGGACTTCTATCGGCTTGCAAGAGCTTCCAGACGTTGTGCCCAAAGCCGGCAAGATGGGCGCGGATGTCGAGGATACCTGGGAGCCTTATTGTCTTAAATTTTCCTCTTTCTATCATTCCAACCCGAAAACTTTTGAAGAACGTTTGCAATAAAGAATAATTCGTTTGGAACTCCACAAAAGTATGAAGGGCAATGGAACTGTTGAACCCCATGGGCTTTATCTATCTATGCTCTTGTCAAACCAGCCTGCAAACTTCAAGACACCAACTTGAAAACTGACATCACCAACGTGGTTCAGCGAAGCTTTCGAACCCAGTAAACAGACAGTCTGTTGTAACATGCTGGTTTGCTGCTTGGCCGATGGCCAAATCTTGATGAGCATCCGCACTTTACTTGTAATACAGCGTCTGAGCACGCTGCTTTTATCAAGCCTTGTCGATTTTTGTTTGGCCCGATCGCACGGGCCTAAGGCCCACGTGGTCGAGCCAACCAAGCAATCCGATCTAACTGCATGTGCAGGGCGCTTCCAAGAAGTTTGGGAACTTTGGAAGCCGCCAAGGCAGTTGGTGCAAAATCTCTAGCTTTGCATTGTAATCATGCAGAAGCATTATTGTTGGAAGTTTGGGGGACTCGCAAGTGCCTCTTGCAAGAAGTGGGCATGCAATTTGGATTTTGTATGTGGCTGTAACGTTTTTTTGTATTTTGTCACAGAAAGGGCACGAAGCCTCACACCCAAAGTGACATAACTGCGAAAGCAAACTTTAAAGTTTTGCCCGTACAGCTCATGCTTGAATTCTTTTGGTTTTCGAGCAAACGCAGCAGTTGTGGTAGAGGCTGGACCCATTGTTAAAGCCAACTTCAAACTGGCTTCAAACCGTTTTAGTGTTGAGGGAGCCGTTCCGCAAAACCATCGCAAACCTCTTTATCAGGACCGGAACCGCATCTCTTCCAGTCAAAGAACACCTCGCACACCGACACCATCGCAAACCTCTTTATCAGAACCGAAACTGGTGGATTTTAGACATTCCATCTTGGTGGGTTTTGGAACACCCACTCAAAACCATTGCGAAACCACTTTATCAGAACAGGATTCACTGGACTTTGCTGGAATCAGAAAGCATTTATCCGGAGATGTTGAATATCTGTATTACTGTTGCAGCTCTTGATACCGCTGCAAGGCGACAGGAGCTGGAAGTGTTGTGATGTGGAGCTCCTTGAAGCAAACAAGCTTGAGTCACTTCAAAGCAGCTTCAACACTCTACGAAGCTCACGCGGAGGCTCAGGTCAGTCAACCGACTGACCGACCGACCAACCCACAGACCCAACGACAAAACAGCAGACTCGAAAGCTTTGGAAGATTACGAAAACCAACTTGCCCTAAGAGACTAACCAACACAAGCAATCTAATCTGCCGGAAAAGAACATTTTGCTCAAGAAAGGTTTGTAACGTATTCTCCAAATTGTCTCTTAGAAACTTGTGATTGATTGCGTGGCTTGGTATGGACTGGAAGAGAGGGTCGGATGTGGATTGGACGCAAAACCAACATCTGGCCTGCATCCCTGTGGACTCTGTCTCGCGCAGTACAAGCTTCTGCCGGTTTGGTGCCAGACTCCAAAGGGGAAAGTATTGCCAGTTGTAGTCGTCGTTGCGGATCTCTGGAATACCATACCTTTGTTCCTTGCCGTTCGACTGGCGATGCAACCCCACAGCCTTCTGAGTTCGAGGAGCGGCCGACTTCGTCTTCTTTGTTGAAGCGACGCAGAGAGCAGCCTGTTCGCCGCCTCGAGTAGCAAGGCTGTCGGCAAGCTGCTCCGGCTTGTCCGAAAAAGACGGAAACTGCACCGAGGCCCTAGCAAAACCCCAACCAAGCACAACACTCGGACA